TTTCGTGAGTAGTTTAACGTCTACGTTCAGTAGGGAGATTGGTCTGTAGTGGCTTGGGTCCGTGTGAGGTTTGCCCGGTTTTGGAAGTAGGCATATGTTCGCTCGGAGCATGTCTGGTGGCAGTGGGTTCCCCTGTAGCACGGAATTAAAGAGAGAACATAGGTGCGGGATGAGTGTGGTAGGGAAGGTTTTATAGTAAAGGCCCGAGAAGCCATCTGGTCCGGGGCTTTTGTTAGGTTTTGTGTTTTTGATGGCCTTGGCCACTTCTTCTATGGTGACAGGTTCGTTTAATGTGGCTATTGCTTCTGGTTTTAGTGCTGGTAGTGGTATTTTTTGTAGGTAGGCGTTTATGGACCCTATTGTTGTGTCCGGGTGTTGTCTCGTTGCAGGGCTGTGGTCGTATAGCGCTGCGAAATACGTTTGAAAGACCTCTCCTATTTTCGATGGGAGGGAGTGAGTGGTTCCGTCTGGGGTTTGTATTTTGTCTATTTTCTTTTGTTCTGCCCTGTGTTTAAGTTTTCTGGCTAGTAAGGTATCTGCTTTGTTAGATTTTTCGTAGTACTTTTGTTTCGACCATTGCAGTGCTTTGGCTGAGTCTCTGGCCATGAAATCTTTAATTTTGTTGCGGCAGTCTGTCAGTTTGGTGAGGATGTCAGGGGTGGGAGTCTTTTTATGTTGGGTTTCTAGGGTCCTGAGTGCTTCAAGGGAGTTTGCTAGGTCCGCCAGTTGGGTTTTCTTGTGTGCTGATGCTAGGCTGATTAGTTTTCCCCTAATGACTGCTTTATGGGCCGCCCACAGTGTTCCCGGTGAGGGCGTTGATGGTGTGTTAATTGTGAAGTAGTCTGTGAGGTCCTTTTGGATGGTGTCTCTCAGAGGGGGGTTATGGAGCAGGGTCGGGTTGAGTCTCCAGGTCCAGGGGCGTGCTACATTTGGAATGTTAATTGCTAACGTGATTTCTGCGTGGTCTGACCATGATATGTTGCCTATGGTGGCTGTGTGTACCGTGTGTAGGAGGGAGGGGGAGATCAAAAAAAGGTCGATGCGTGAGTAAGAGTTGTGTGGGTGTGAGAAAAATGTGAAGTCGCGTTTGGTCGGGTGTAGTGTCCGCCATACGTCTATTAGTTGTAGCTGGAGGGCGAAGGATTGTAGCATTTTGTCCAATTTGGTTGTGGGGGTTGGGTTTTGTCTGTCTCGGCGTGTGCTGTGCCTGTCCACTGCTGTCGACATAGTGGCATTGCAGTCGCCACCTATGATTTTATGGTGCCCCGGGGTCAGGGTCAGGTGTGCCTGTAGTGTGTCCCAAAATGATGCATCCGGAGTGTTTGGAGCATATATTGTTGTGATGGCATATTTGTTTGGGCCGGCCTGACCCGTGAGTGTCAGGAACCGACCCTGGGGGTCTTTTATAACTTGTCTCACATTTAGAGGGCAAGTCTTGCGTAGTAGTATGGCCACTCCATTCTGTTTGGTGGTGGGGGAGTTAGCGGTGTAGCACTCTCTGTAGTGCCGGCTAGTAAGGGGGAAGGGTTTGGTCTGGGTGAAATGTGTTTCTTGTAACAGTAGTATGTCCGCTCCCGTACGGTTCGCCCATCTCATGAGTTGATGTCTTTTTACTGGGTTGTTAAGGCCTTTGCAATTGATTGAGATACAGGTGAGTTTGGAGGTCATTGTGACCGCAGGGACCCTCCAGAGGTGGTTGTGTCCGGGGAGTGTGACGGTCGGACTGGTGCGGTGCGCCTGGTTGTGGGGTGGGGTACTGTGGGGGGGGGGTGCGTTGAGGGGGGAGGGGTGGTCCTATGTGCGTGCTGTTTGCGAAGCCTGATGTCTAGGGCGTGGTGCCCCGGTAGGGTAATGTGCCTAGGTGGGTGGAGGTTGGGAGGGGTGTGCCTGGTCTGATACCGAGGTTGCCAGGAGTATTAGGGGCGGAGATGGGGGGGGGTTTGGTTACCTGTACCTGGTACAGGTCCTAACCTTTTCCCTCCGTGCCACCGCGTGTGGAGCGGTGGGAGCTGAGGGGTGTGTTGGTTGGTAAGTAGTGGTGATGAGGTAGTGTGGGTTAAGTGACAAGTGTCGAGAGGGGTATCACTTTTCGCCGCCCGTCACTTCAGAGTGTTGTGTTGTTTACCTTCCATGTGATCTGTTTGTCAGGCTGTCCCTATTCGTCAGGGGGGGGTTCGAGTGGAATCGCCTCGCAGTGTAGCAGAGTTATTGTTTTCCTGTAATGATACCAATGATATTAATCAGTGCTAGTCCTTGATTCCCTTGCCAGGTCGGATTGTGCTGGGTACCTCTACTCCTGTTAGCCTGGTGCGGCTGGGGTTAGCGTAGGGCCAGTGTCCTTGTTATGTAGTGCGAGTTGCGGGTCTAGCGGTTGATTGAGTGTGAGTGTCATGTGGCTTGACTCTTACGTGTCTGTCGTGCACTGTTTTCCTTTTGAGTGTGCCTCATGTTCAGGGTGGGACTCCGTCTCCTCCCTGAGGTTCGTTATAGTTTGGTTTGTTGGTCCTTAGAGCCTAGAACCTCCCTGTGGTGGTGGCTTCATGGGTTCCGAAGGGCTCTGATGTTTAGTGTCTGTGCTGGTGTTTTGAGGTTTTGGTGTTTTTCTGTCTGTGGTCATCATGCATGCTGATAGGCATATTAATGAACAACCTTCATATGCTCTGGCTAACAGTACATTATAAGTAGTCAGTACATTATAGGTATACATTTCAGCTCAGACCTTGCTTAGTCTCCCCGGGGCTGGCTATAGATATTTGAGGAGGTATGTATTGGGGAACCTAGGGGGTGGGTCTTGTCAAGGAGGTGGTCCCAAGCGGATCTGGGTGTTTAGTTGCGTGGTGAAGCTTAATAACCCTGATGAGGTAAGCTGAGTGCCCAGGGAGTATACTTGATAAGTAGGCTGGATGCTCTGGGTTTCATGTTAAGGCGCTCGTGTTGCGTCACCCAGGTAGTGCCGTGGGGTTGGTACTGGGCTATAGGAGGTTCTTGTATACGCCGTTGTCCCCGGGGACGTGGGTCAGTAGTCAGGGACTGCCAGCGTGGCAGTGTATGCCACCGTTAATGGTAGCAAGGGGGTCCCTGTGCACCATGGGTGCCTGCTTGTGGTCCCGTTCCCTCGCCCCTCGGCTATCGCTGTTGTTGACCGCACATTGGTCCCTGAGAGCTCGTGAAATGGTGCTCTAGTGGCTCCTTGGTGTGGAGGGGAGAGGGAGTATCGTACCCGGCACTCTTATACTAATGGTGGGAGCCGCCATCTCTTGGTGCTTTGTGTCTGCCCCCCAAGTGGGGAGAGGGGCTGTAAAGTGGTTGCGTTAATATGGGTGTTATGGTTAGTTATAGTTTAATTATGTGTCTGCTGTGTCTTGTGTGCCTGTCTGTTTCTGTTCGTGGCCCCAGTTGCATTAATACACTTGTGACAATACAGTTAATACTGATATAAGAGAGAGAACAAATTGTCAAACATAACATATTGCGGCATGCAGTAGTTCAGGGGTTAACATATAGAACCTGTCCAGGTGGCCAGCATCTTTTCCCTTCTGGGGGGCCTCGTGTGAGCAGGTGTAATGTTCATCGTGGGGTGGCTGCCTCTGCCTGTGGAGGGGGCCGTTTCTTGGCTGGGTCCCTAGGTGGTTGTGCTGCGGTGAGGGCTTCTTTCGGTGCTATGTTGCTCCGGTCAGCTGTCGGCCTGGTGAGGAGTTGGAGGCCCATTGCTGCGGCGAAGTCCTCCATTTCCGCGGGGTGATGCAGGACGCGGTCTTGGTCTCCGATTCGTACCTGCAGCTTAAAGGGGTGGCCCCATCTATACTTAATTCCTTTCTTGGTGAGAGCTGTTGTTAGGGGCTTGAGATCCCTCCGTTTCTTGAGGGTAGATGGCGCCAAGTCTTGGAAGAAGGCCAGTGTATAGGCCCCTAGTTTTGGCGGTGAGGCCCTGGTGGCGGCCATTATCTTTTCCTTTGTGGCAAAGTGTGACATACGGACTATGATGTCCCTGGGTGAGGTGGGGTTGAGTGCCAGCGGCCGCAGCGCCCTGTGGGCCCGGTCTATTTCGCGCTCCCGTTCTGTGGAGTCAGGGAGTATGACACGGAAGAGGTCGCAGAGTGTGGGCAAGATGGCGTCGGCCGCTATTGTTTCCGGCAGGCCTCTGATCCTGATATTATTTCTGCGGGAGCGGTTATTGAGATCTTCCAAATTATCTTCCAGGTATTGGATCTTATCGCTTAGGTAGTATATGTCTTGTCCGTGTTGGGAGGAGGCTGTTTGGAGTTGTGTGATGTCCGTTTCAGCCTGCGTTGTGCGGGTGTTGAGGGCCTCCAAATCTTCTTTGATGCCCGAGATGTGCCGTTCTAATTCTGCTGCTGTGTGGGCCTTGATGTCCGCCGTGGCCTCTTGCAGCATGCTGCGGAGGTCCGCCTTTGTAAGGGGTGCCTGCCTGTTTGTTGTTGCTTCGGGTTCCGAATCCGAGCCCGAGTCGTGGGTACATGGTGTGCTCTGGCTTAAAGATGGCCGCGGGAGGTCTTTGGCCGCGCGGAACATTGAGGCCACTGAGGTTGGTTGTTCTTTTCGTTTTTTAGTGCCTCCCATGGGCATTTTGATCGGGTGGCTGTGTAACTAACGGGTAGCCTGTTTGTAGGGCTGGATGCCTGGGGAAAGTTGCTGATGTTAGCAGATGGTCACTCTTGGACGGGGGAGCTTCAGGTTTACACGTCCTGCTCCATTGGTCAGGCAACTTTTTTAATACTGTATTTTTCTAAAGTTTTTGGGTTTTTTGCGGCCCACAAGGACCATCTTTGTGGCCCCGCGAGCCGCGAGTACATGCTGGTGTTATAGCAGAGTAGGCACCTGCTTTCCCCACATTGCAGGTGCCTACTCTGCTAACACTTACCTGGCTGGGGAGGAGGGCCAGCAAGGGAGCTCAGTGTTCCTGCTCCTCACTGCTCCTTTGCGCGCGCCGACTGAAGTGAAGCCGGGCAACAGAATATGACCTCATATTCCGGCAAACGGCATCACTAAAGTGCGCAAGGGAGCAGGGAGATGCCCCACATTGGCTCCAAAAGGTAGAGAGCAATAAAGAAAAGTATGTGTGTGCAAGAATGTGTAAGTGTGCCAGTGTGTGTCTGTCAGTGTGTCAGTGTGTATGTCTGTCAGTGAGTATGTGTGTGTCTGTCAGTGTGTGTCTGTCAGCAAGTATGTGTGTGTCTGTCAGTGAGTATGTGTGTGTGTGTGTCTGTATGTGTGTGTCTGTCTGTCAGTGAGTATGTGTGTGTGTCTGTCTGTGAGTATGTGTGTGTGTGTCTGTCAGTGTGTGTGTGCCTGTATGTGTGTGTGTGTCTGTCTGTCTGTCAGTGAGTATGTGTGTGTCTGTCTGTCTGTGTGTGTCTGTGTGTGTGTCAGCTAGTATGTGTGTGTCTGTCAGTGAGTATGTGTCTGTCTGTCAGTGTGTGTGTGTCTGTCTGTGAGTATGTGTGTGTGTGTCTGTATCAGTGATACATGTGTGTGTGTGTCTGTCTGTGAGGGTGTGTGTGGTATACTGTCAGTGGTATGTGTGTGTGTGTGGGTGTGTCTGTCAGTGTGTGTGTGTCTGTCTGTGAGTATGTGTGTGTGTCTGTCTGTCTGTGAGTATGTGTGTGTGTGTGTGTGTCTGTCTGTCTGTCAGCAAGTATGTGTGTGTCTGTCAGTGAGTATGTGTGTGTGTCTGTCAGTGAGTATGTGTGTGTGTGTGTGTGTGTGTGCGGCCCACATAAACTTAAACCTTGTTTACGTGGCCCGTGCCAGACTTTGAGTTTGACATGCTTGATGTACAGGATAAGTACCAACCTTGGGACTATCCAGCAATGGAGTTTTTTAAATTGTACTATAGATCTCAGATTTTACAAGAAAGCGACTTTCTTTGTTAAATGCTAGCATTGGGGTTTCTGGAATTCCTGAATAATAGAGCATTCTTAGAAATCAGCCAGTGTGTCTTCAAAATATTTTCTTGACTATGCCTCCAGATCTGAGTACTTTTAAAAAATATTATTTAGGTATTTTTGCCACATTTTTACGCTCTTACTTAAGTTAGCTGTCTTCTAACCACTTCCTGCAGATTATATCTGCAGTGTACCTAGGACTCCAGTTCAACACTGTGAAGTATCTGGTTAGTTAATTATGAGAGAGCATGGAGAGGTTGCAAGGTGCCAGGTAACCCATATGTAGCTGTAGTACATACCATCACGTCAGTATGACCACATATTATTCTGGCATAATTTTTTACACTGGATGCTCTGAACCCACATCATTCTCTAAGGTTACTAGCCTGTGTCAAAATAGCAACGCAGAACATCATGCATCTCTCATGATTCGGTTTATTCTCAGTCTGGTGCAGTACCTCACAGTGCCACTACGTGTCTGTGGGGCTATTGCAGGCTGCTGCACCCAGTCTGAGATCTCTTTCTGTTTGCCAGTTCATTAATGTTAACAAGGTTGTTGGTCTGGTGCTTTTGCCCTGGATACTGAGCTAGCTGCCTGCCTATCATGTGTTCCTGTGCTAGCTGTTTCCTTGTGTTCTTGAGCTGGCTGCTTCCCTATATTCAGAGTGTCATGACAAGGGTGCATAATTCATTATTATTGTCCTTTAATGTAATTTGTGTAGTGCATAGATTACTTGCCTGCCTGGTAGAGGTGGTATTGTCAATGTCAAAAGGGGTTAATTTGATTGTATGGAAGGTCAAAAGGTTTATAGCCTTAATTCCTCTTTGAAGCTTGGACCCCCACAGAGGTCAGATGACAGAAGGGGTAATGTAAATTGCATACGAATGTAAAAAGGGTCAGATGCATTACCATATGGATGAATACTGTGATTAATCAAAGGCTCTGCAAGGTGTGAGATTCTACACTTGAAAAACCTGAATGTCTGGCTTCAGCCATATGACCTGTACCTCTTAGTTGATAAGTCAATCTCTTTGATATGCTAATGGACATTAACCTTGTTCCAGTATCATATCCAAAAGAAAAAACATTAATATTTACCCACAGAATAATAATGAAGCCTAATTTTTGTTATATTTGGACTATGACAAGCGACATCTTCTAAACAAGCCCAAATATGATTGACATAACTTAACCATAGGGGAAGGGATTGTGATGTCCGCTATATTGGGTCGCAAGTAAGGGTTGTGACATATCTATGGAATGGAAAAAGTATAACAAATTCGTAGATGCAATTATTTCTGTGGCAAGTACATAAGAGACGATAGAACCAAATGTTTCCATTTGAATTGATGTGGGTCTGGGACACAAGGGGGTGGTCACTTATTGTCTCTATAGATACGCCTTAACTCCACCTCTAGGCCAGGCATGGTAATCCACAGGGTATATATGCAATGATACTGAAATGTCATTTACTTGCTTGAGGAGCCAGAGTCTAATTCTAAGTGAGTCACCATCCTTCCTACCAGAGACCCCCTGGGGCAGAAGTTTTACTTTTAAAAGATGAGTAAGTTATTAGGACTTCAGACAGGGACTGGGGGATACAGAGACAGAGACACTGGGAGACATGGGGACACTGGAAGACTGGGGGACACTGAGACTCTAGGGGAGACATGGGGACACTGAGAAACTAGGGGACACTGGGAGACATGAGGACACTAAGAGAGACATGGGGACACTGAAACACTAGGGGAGACATGGGGAAAATAGGGGACCTGAGACACTGAGACACTAGGGGAGACGTGGGGAACCTACGGGAGACATGGGGACACTGAAACCCTGAGACATGGCTACACTAGTGGACACTGGAAATCATGGGGACACTGACACACTAGGGAAGACTGAGAGACATGTGAAAACTAGGAGACACTAAGACACTAGGGGATACTGAGAGACATGGGGACACTGGGAGACATGGAGACACCACTGAGACATGGGGACACTGAGACAGCTGGGGACACTGGGAGACATGGGGATACTATGAGACATCGGGACACTGAGACACCCCTGCATTAAAACCTATGAGGGTCACTATGGCCCCCATATTAATAAAAGGGAGGTTAAATCCTCCGGCATACCCCTACTCGCGATATGCTGCGAGTAGGGGCATGTCACCTAAACCAATTCAAAACTACTAGTGCTGCCCAGTCATTAGTGCAATAAGGGGGGACCTAGCACAGGTTAAATCCTACCGCATGCCCCTACCTGTGCCAGGTCCCCCCGTGTAGAAGGGGCATTTCACCTAACAAATTTAAAACTACTAGTGACTGGGCAGCTATTGCTGCCCAGTCACTAGTGCAATAAGGGGGGACCTGGCACAGGTTAAATCCTACCGCATGCCCCTACCTGTGCCAGGTCCCCCCGTGTAGTAGGGGCATTTCACATAAACAGCCAATGGCTGATCGCTGTCATTTAAAACGGGATATAAAAATCAGTATCTTATATAGACGTGATAGAGAGCTACGGTAAGAGTACATGTAACCAAAAGGTTAAGCAAGAACTATAACAATGTTGCAATATGAAAAAGTAGCTATTTAGAACTAAATAGCTATTTTTTACACATACTCTTACCATAGCTCTAACACTTCTATACAGGATACATTTATATCCAGTTTTAAATGACAGCGAGCAGCCAGTGACATCTTGCTGTCTTTTAACACTACATATATATATATCAGTATGGGGGTCACTATAAAAGGGAGGTTAATTCCTCCCGCATGCCCCTACTCGCCTAAACAAATTTAAAAGTACTAGTGACTAGCTTTTGCTGCCCAGTCACTAGTGCAATAAGGAGGGCCTGGCACAGGTCCCCAGTCCCCCATGGTAGGGAACACAAATACTTAAAATGGGGGTACATAGTGCCCCACCCATGACCTACTAATATATAACGGGGGGACCTTAATTAATTAAATAAATAATGGCGCTCGGGGGACCTAATGTCCCCCCCTGAGCAGCAGGTGGGGACCCTAAATAAATAAATAATGCAGGGGACCTAATGTCCCCACCCATGAGCAGCAGGTCGGGACCCTAATTAATTAAAGGAGGGACCTAACAAGCCCTACTCAATGCCCCTGTCTTGGCTGCCCCAGTCCCTAACAAGCGTTTTATTGTACACACATTTATCTATTTTTTCCTTTCTATTTTTTCCTTTTTATATATTTTTCCTTTTCTATTTTTTCCTTTTTATATATATGCATTAGTCTTTCTGTGTCTAGAAATTAATTAAATCTGATTTGGCTTAATGGAGCTAATTGATGTTAATGGGTATATATATATATATATATTTTATATATACCTATATGGACTAAGTTTAGGTTATGCCTCTGATGAAATAGGGCAGTACCCTATGAAACGCGTAAGGCTGCAGAAAACCACAGACGGGCTAGAGAGCACACACTTCTGTTAATCACTGACGGAGTTGCCTGCAATACAGCACTATTCTGGATGTCTACCTCCTGATGTGAGGTCAAAGAGGTAGTTCCGAGAACGCGGACGCCGTCCTCACCGGCTCTGCAGAATCAACTTGGAAGGAGACTACAACAATCCTGAGCCATCCAGACGAACTGTGCAGGTTATATGAAATTTTTATTTTCTCTCATATATACAAGCCCGTGTGGAATCTTTTCTATTGAGTATTTTAAAGTTTTTTGGATTATTTAATATTATCAATTTTGATGTGAATAAAGTCTATATTTTTAATACATCAACTTCTATAAGCATCTTTCTGATACATGTTGGACATTTGTTAAAGTATCAATTAGATACTAAAATACAACATTCAGGAGACATCTGTGTTAAGACACCTCCCGTGTCTTTAAGCCAAACCGCCGTTTAGTAAACCTTCCCCGGCTGCAGTACAGTCTCTGTTCGCTTACTCTGTAACCCACGAACCAAATGCAGGGGAAGCGGCAATCTCCCGATCGAAATCCACGAACGGCTCCAAACTCCCGAACGGCAATATACGAACTGCTAGGAACCGTCGAACAATAATATCCCCAAAGCGACTTTCGTTCCATCCAGCAGTCTCTAAACGTGAAGAAGAAATCCCCCCAATAACGAGACAGAAGCTCCGCATTGAGGGTCAAATAAGATCTGGGTTTACTGTGGGCTACCTGCCCGTATTTATGCAGGTCTCCCACCTGGTGGACACTCCCCTAGGGGACCAAATGGAAGACTTAAAGTACAGACAGATAGCAGGACATTTCTGACACACAGTCACATATTTTACCCACAGTACATTCTGATTCCCTCCCCTCTGTCCTGGAGTTAATTACCAAGTAACTCAATTAACTCCAGGACAAGGACAGTCGCCATCTTAAACATGAAATAATAAAAGACACAAAAATGCATAACTACATGAAAACTGAACATTTCCCATTCGTATTACATGTCCCCAGATAGCCTGGATCTGAGTGCATATTATTGGCGAATAGCGCTCAGATCCCACACACATAGTTCAATCGCCATGGAGTCAAAGTTCTTACAGTCCTTCGGTACACGAATGACTCCATGGGTGAGCTATCTGGGTTAAGTCTTTTGTGTGTTCTCAATCTCCCGAACGGCCGATGTTCGCATGCTTTCGTGGAGGCAGCCAGGCGTTCCCTTGTTTCAGCGGTGTTCGACAGAAAAAGTGTCCGTTTTCCGTTCCATAGAAATAGAGCCAAACACCGCTGGAGCGTTCGCATGATTTAAAATGGCCGCTGCCTCGTGGTCGACATACGAACGACGACCACCCTGAGTTCGGTTTAATTGAGAAGTGTCTGCGGTTAACCACAACGTTATAATGGTGATCACTTCGTTAACCTGCAGCACACTCCTCACTTGGGTGGCCGTTCGTTCGGCGGTTTTGTTCGGGAAAAAGAGTCATTCGAATGGCTGGGCTATAGAAACCAGCCATTCATACGAACGGGGGACAAACAGACGAACGGGCAAAAATCCAGCAGACAGATGGTTCTGTCACACGGCTCCCTCCTTGTGGGACACTCCGGCAGACCCGGCTTGACCCTGTGGCGGGTCAACTTGGGGATGACCGGACTACGAGGTGAGGGAAACGTCTGTTTGTCGTGACAACCCATCTGCATTCCCATTCAGCTTACCGGGTCTGTGGCTGATGGTAAAATTGTAGGGCTGTAGTGCCAAGCTCCATCTCAGCAGTCTCCCATTGTCTCCTGAGACCCGGTTAAGCCAAACGAGTGGGTTGTGATCAGTCACAAGGGAAAATTCTTGCCCATACAAATAGGGGCTTAACTTTTTCAATGCCCACACCAGAGCCAAACATTCCTTCTCCACTGCCGCATAACTCACTTCTCTGGGTAACAACTTTCTGCTGAGATATGCGACAGGGTGCTCTCCTCCATCTTCCCCGACTTGGCTCAGCACAGCCCCCAGTCCATACATGGAAGCATCTGTATGGACGAGAAAGCGTTTGTTAGGGACTGGGGCAGCCAAGACAGGGGCATTCACAAGAGCCTGCTTCAGTGCCTGGAATGCAGCTTCACAAGCCGGAGACCACAGGACCTGCTTAGGCAAGTTCTTCTTCGTCAGGTCTGTCAGGGGCTTAGCGATAGCGCTGTAGTCAGGGACAAAACGTCTGTAGTACCCTGCCGTCCCCAAGAAGGCCAATACCTGGGTCTTAGTAGTAGGTGTGGGCCAGTTAGCCACTGCCTCTACCTTGGCTGGCTCTGGTCTCTGGCTCCCACACCCCACTCTGTGACCCAGGTACTGCACTTCAGCCATACCTAGATGACACTTTTCTGGCTTCAACGTCAGGCCAGCGGCCCTAATCTTATCCAGCACTACCCCTACATGTACCAGGTGTTCCTCCCAGGACCCACTGTAGATCGCAATGTCGTCCAAGTATGCGCAGGCAAATTCTTGGAAGCCATCCAGGAGTCTATCCACCATCCGTTGGAAAGTAGCCGGTGCATTTTTCATCCCAAAAGGCATGACCTTAAATTGGTACAGGCCAAATGGGGTGACAAATGCCGACTTGGGGATAGCATCCTCGGCCAGGGGGATCTGCCAGTAGCCCTTACACAGGTCTATGGTGGTCAGATATCGCCCCCTGGCAATACGATCTAGTAATTCGTCTACCCGGGGCATTGGGTAGGCGTCAGTGGTGGTCCGCTCGTTGAGTCGCCTGTAGTCCACACAGAACCGGGTGGTCCCATCTTTCTTTGGCACCAGGACTACAGGCGAGGCCCAAGGGCTGTCGGAGTGCTCGATAACCCCAAGTTGGGTCATCTCCTGTATCTCCTTCCGCATTCCTTCACGGACTGCTTCAGGGATACGATAGGGGGGCTGTCGTAACGGGGTCTGTCCAGGGGTCTCTACCTTATGCACAGCTAGGGTGGTATAACCTGGTTCCTGGGAGAACGTCGCCTGCTTCTCCCATAACAACTGCTGCGCCTGTACCCTTTCTGTGGGGTTCAACCGGTCCCCTAGCTGTACCAAGGTAGTAAGGTCAGTCTGGGAATCCCTTTCTAATAGATCTGGAAGGGGTAAATTCTCAGAATCATCTGCAGCTGGGGCACACACTGCTGCAATATTCTCAGGTCTCTCCTGGTACTCTTTCAGCATGTTCACATGAAAGGACCGCTGGATCCTCTCATCTGCACAGCTGGCTATCAAGTAAGTAGTGTCGCAGATCTGCGCCACTACCTTGTACGGGCCCT